GATTTAGTAAGGATCATAGAATTGCTGAGGTGCGAAGGTTGCTTAATTCCTCGAAACCAATGAGGATAGCAATAGTTCAAAGGTCAAACGTAAGCGATCACGAATTCATAGAAGAGCAGGAAAGACACTTGCTCACGTTATGCACGAGAACAATGGCATTACCTGTAGCTAGAGGCATGTTTACATTGAGAACTTCCACCCCGATGATAACAGAGCAATTGCCCATTCCACGATTGTGTTTAACCGGTATGATTATATATCACGGTTTGAATTTATTCTATTAATTGATTAACTAATTACATTTTATATATTTTCATTAGGCAAGGCACCGCCCCGTGGAACTACCGTCGAGTTAACTCACATAGATGTTCCGCCAAATATGAATCTGTGGCCGCTTTTTCATAATGGCGTAGCTGCAGGCCTATGCATTCATCCAGATACTGCAAATATCGACTCTACATGGATAGTGTATAATAAACAACAACAGGGTGAATACGGTGTAAAACATTCGGGATTTCTGATGGCTCTTGGTTTAAACGGACATCTGAAAAACTTAGCTCCCCTAAGTACATACGAATATCTAGCCGATTGTCACGAAGCTACTAGTGTTGGACTTTTGCTAGGCTTATCGGCAACACATCGTGGCACAATGAATGTATCTATGACTAAATTATTATCATTACACGTAGAAACACTTTTACCACCGACGAGTATCGAATTAAATGTGCAACAAAATGTCCAAGTAGCGGCGTTAATGGGAGTTGGTCTTGTGTATCAAGGAACTGCACATAGACATATCTCGCATTCTTTATTATCTGAAATTGGTAATTATCTATCACTCATAATACATACATGTATTGCTAACATGAATGCTAATGCTATAGATTTATCTTTATAGGTAGGCCGCCAGGACCTGAAATGAAGAATTGTATAGACCGCGAATCGTATTCCTTGGCAGCAGGATTAGCATTAGGTCTAGTCATACTTGGCTCTGGTGGTGGAACGGATGTACCTGCGAGTATACCTGATACTTTGCATTATTATATGGTTGGTGGACATATAAGACCCTTTTCTGGAGCACAGAAAGATAAATACAAATCTCCTAGGTACAATGCAATTTAAAAAATAAAAATTATACTAATTAAATTTTTCTAATTAAAAATTTTGTTCTATAATATTTTAAATTTAAAAAAATTTAATTTTTTACATCTTTAGAAGAGATGTAAAATTAGAATAAATTAAAACCTTTCCCGTAAAAAAATTTGTAAGTTTCTGCATATCTTCTCATTAAAACAGAAAAACAAAGTACAACAATTTTTCTCAATTTATATATTGTTTCTTTGTTTGTAGTTATCAGATACGTGAAGGTGATTCAATAAATATCGACGTAACAAGCCCAGGAGCAACGATAGCTTTAGGATTAATGTATTTCAATACTGGAAATCATGCGGTAGCAGAATGGATGCAACCACCTGATACACAATATTTATTGGAATTTGTAAGGCCAGATTTCCTGCTGTTAAGAGTGCTCGCCAAGTCATTGATTTTATGGGATGATATTCAGCCAACCAAATTATGGGTTTCTAGTCATGTGCCGAATATTGTTTATAAGTATAGGTTGCAGAAACCTACGCCAGAAATTACGCAGAATGTAGATTTGGAAACTATCAAGTAAGTAATTGTATCTTCTCAAAGAAACATTTTGTATCATTTTATTTGATATATAAATTTATGCTATTTGTCATTATAATTTATAGCCAAGCCTACTGCAATATTATAGCAGGTGCTTGTATGGCACTGGGGCTGAAGTATGCAGGTACTGCTAATAAGAACGCTTTCAAGACTTTGTACAATTACGCTCAGATGTTCACAGCGTTGTCACACAAAACTATAGCTGAATTGGCTGGCAAATCCACCGTTGAAACATGTCTAAACGTTGTTCTGCTTTCAACCGCAGTGGTGATGGCGGGTACTGGCAATTTAGATGTAAGTCTTGATATTTGTTGACAATGACTCAAGAAGCACAACAAGTGCAACAATCTATTTAAATACGCAGATCATGAGGATATGCAGGCATATACGCACTCGTGTAGGACTCGCCAGCGGCGTAGTTACATATGGATCTCATTTGGCAACCCACATGGCTCTTGGTCTCCTTTTTTTGGGTGGTGGAAGATATACACTTTCTAACAGCCCAAATGCAGTAGCGGCTCTAATAATTTCACTTTTCCCAAAGTTTCCAACTCACAGCAATGATAATAGGTTTGTGAATGCTATTCTTAATTCTTATAACAATCCTTTAATTCTTTTAAAAAAGAAAAAAGTAATGAATGAAAGAAAATTATTTTTATCAATAATAAAAAAGCTTAAAACATATTCTCTTCATACTTTTTAGATAATACTTTTGTATCTAAATAGTGTTATTATTTCGGTAGGTATCATTTACAAGCTTTACGCCATTTATACGTATTAGCAGCTGAACCACGTATTATCTTACCGAAAGACATAGATACTGATCAGTATTGTTACGCGACGATACATCTAACATTCGAAACTGACAAAGAAGCTGAAGGACAAGAGATCAGTCTACAAGCGCCCTGTTTATTACCACAGTTATGTAGTTTAAAGAAGATCGAATTGAAAGATTCAAGATATTGGAAAATTACATTTTTGAAACATCACAACTGGCAGCAATTAGAAAACATGCTGGAAAGACATGATTTCTTAAGCATCAAACAGAGAGCTGGTTGTTTATCGTACCTGGAAGATCCTCATGTAAAACATTATTACTTAAAGAAATAATTTAAAATTATGTACATATTAAATATATTTTATTTCGATTTGTTATAGGGTTTTAGAAGCTTAGTGGCCCAAACTCTGACGACGGAAAATGCAATCGCATGGGCTGCGCGGCCAGAATATGTTACATCGTTTACAAATGATAAAACTGTATTGAACGTAGTGATGTCTTTTTTGCAATGGTCTAAAAAAGGAATAATTCGTCCCGAAAGTATTAAGTATTCATCGCAAAATGGTATGATTAATATAATTTTAATATACACTTAACTCAAGAGATTAGTAGATATTTATAATATATTCTATATAATTTTTTGTAAATTATACAAGACCTTTTTTTGTATAAAAAAGCATGAGATTATATTTACGACTATTTATCTTTTCAAGTTCTCATCTATATGAATAGATCTTCTTTTCCTATACCAGCTCTCTTATTTCTCTCGATTATACATTTTGCAAAATAACATTTTTATCGAATAATACAACTATAAATTTACAGATGTACAATGCAGAATGTCAGAGTTTGAACAGTACTTCCTTCATATGTTTGCAATAATTGTGTACGAATGTATTACAAAAGATAAAATAAGTCTTATATCGTTATGGTTGCACATCATTAAAAGCATAAACATTATCGAGGAACAACCAAACAGCTTTGCGATATGGCAAATAAAACTCCTTTTGTCACAAATGTCGAGGAAAAATAACTATACGGATGATGAAAATTCATTACTTAGCATAGAAAGTATACTCGCAATTAAACAGAAAACATCGATTATTCTAGATAAATGGGAGCACGGTATTTATTAAAGCATGATGTTACAATAATTTATTGTTAATTTTATCATATTTAACTATTTCTCTTTACAGATATGAAATCTGTGTTTAAAGAATATCTTACGACTGGAAAAGTACAATACTCCGATACTACATCTCTAGCTAAAATGTGTGCATATTTTATATTCTATGGTATACCATATCCAATTGATGATAAATCAATCTGTAAGTTTCTACAAACACATAAATGGTTTTCGTACTTGATAAAGATATCTTTCACTTTCCATGTTTATTTTTAGTGAATTCAATCACGACGGCGCAAAGCTCTGTTAGCATACCGAATATTACACTGTATAAATTACGCAAAATTTTACAAACAAATTAAAGGTAAAATTCTTATATAATATAACAAGACATTAAAAATGAACAATATCTTATTAGTTTTTCTCTTCATTAAAGTTATCATGATCTTTTTATTTGCAAAAACTAAAAATATTTTATATATCAGTATCTGGCTACATACGAGGGCAAATCAATAAGTATCCGTGTTTGAAAACAGGCAGCATTGTTGACAGGCAGCAAGGATTACCATCAAGGAATATTACTATTATCTTTCAAACGATGCCATACAAAATTTCAGTGATTTATGTGATAGTTTTAATTTGACAGCAATTCGTAGTGAGCGTGTTTGATGTTTTTCGATACAATGGAAAAAGTGTAATATCGATCTGTGATTTGTTTTTTATTTTTGGAAAAACGTGCGGAGAAATAAAAATGAAGTTGGATGCCGTCTATGGAAACCCTTCACCACGTATGACAGATCACCATCAGATCCTGGTTTAATGAATTCAAACATGGTCATTCATCTGTTTTTGATGATAAAACAATTTTTGTGAAAAACTTGCGCCTTCATTGCGGGTACTTATTAATTTGCTCTCGTACAATAATTTGTAATTTATTTGTTGCACGTTTAATAAAATTTATAAATTTGCATAACAATACATAAAGTAAAAATCTTACGAATAAAATAATTAAAACAATAAATTGAGGAATAACTCATGTACATCATACAGGATAAAATATTGATACTTTATAGATTGAATTTAATGGCCGGTATTGTCAGTAATAAGAAAGATATTTATATAAATATAGGCACTTAGACTTTATTTTATAATAATGTTATTAACTTTATAATAAACCATAATTACAAAAAATATAATTCATTTATAAAAATACTTATATTTAGCAATATATTAATACATTATAAATTATTATTCAGGATCACAGAAAACTTACAAATTAAACTTTCTAATTGTACTCCATTGAATTATTTAAGTACATAATTTTTTAATTAGTTCAATTCAGTGTGTATATATATTTATTAAATTAGAGTCGCAAATATGTTGAATTGATGAAAATTACAAAATGTTACGTAAATAGCCTGTTTCGCCTTCTATAAAATTGTTCTTCGTGTATAATAGGTGTACCAGTTATCATATGTATCAAGTTATCAATCTTTTCTCCAACAAAAGTATAAGAATATAAGCAACCAACTAAAATACCACCCAAATGACCGATGAAGGAAGAATTTGGGACTAATAGGTGTATCAATATTAATTCGAACCACACCGCTAATTTACTTGGCACTATTAATCCACTGATATTGTGCAACTTGTCGCGTTCTTCGCACAGCGCAATGACTTTCAATGCAAATAATATGGCAGAAAAACCGATAGCGCAAGCCGTGAAATATCCATAATCCCCTGTTAATTGCATCAGAATGTATCCTAGGAATACATACATAGCACTACATCCGATAGACAATACACCAAGTAAAAGTACAAAATTCATCATTCCGTAGATGGGCTCCAAGTAAGAACCTTTCAGAATAAAAGAAAGCATGTTGTAGTACAAATGCATGTCGGATCCATGTTCAAAATTTGAAAGAAAGAACGACCGCCAGTTTTTGTACTTAATTATTTTGATAGCCGATATGCATACATCTTCTGCATCCCATGGCACCTGTATCAGGCCCATATACAATAAAGTCTATAGAAAAAGAAAAATATGTTTACTCTCTATGGATATGATGCTGGTAAAAGCTTGTAAAAACTGAAGGTTATATGGCGATCAATTAGAAAAATTAATTCAAGTTTATCAAAATAGAGTAAATTATGTTAATTCTAGAGAGACTGGTCCAAAATATAGTGAAACGAAATCGTTAAAACAAAATTTATATCAAATTTTTAGTAAAAAAATTACCTGTGCAATGATTCCAACTAGAGTAGCAGGTGGTATTTTATCAAGTCCAAAGTTTAGAGTTTGCATACACAGCAGGAATATGCCATATTGTAGACCCTGCTGCCGTCTTTGGCGCATCATAATGATATAGAATATGATGCAATATATTGCTCGATGAGGATAATCAATTTCAAAACGCCAAAAAAAGAACTGAACTGTCACATCTGTACAGGATTCTCCTGTGAGTAAATTTCAGATATCCATGTTTTTTTTATTAATATAAATAAACATGTGATGTCAACTTTTCAAATTTTGCTGAACTTGCACTTGCTGTTTTGCGTTTGTGAAAAAAAGAGATTCTCAACGATCAAAATCGCCAGTTGATACTGTAAAATGAATAGTGAAATTAAAAAAGATTTTTAAAGAAAATTACACTGCCAGTATTCATACTCCAATCCTATATTTAAGGTCTAATTCAGTCTGATCTCAAGTGACTTAAAAATTCGCTTAGTCAACAAAATAATTCATTAAAATCTCAACATCGTATTTAAGCGATCTTAAATATAAAATCGGACTAGAATAAATATTAAGATTTTAAGATTAGAGAAATCTGTACAATAGAATAGAATAAACACAGAGAATTCTAGAATAATTTATCGTTGTGGAACAAAAAATAATCTCTGTAGCTTCGCAGTTTGTTACATTTACTTTGAAAAGCTTCGTGACAAATTTGTTCATATAAATAATTATCCAATCAAGTAGAGACATAGAACGGCAGAACGTGTCGATTGCATTGCAATATCGCGCGCATTTCGTATTTGTTGCTGTTTGTTCAGTCGATAAAATAGATTTCTTAACCTATCTAAAAATACCTTTATCAACAAGCTCTAATTTAACTTGTATCTCAGATCCATGATCAGGGCTGTCACTCCTGTATTTTCTTCAAGAAGACATCACGATAAGCTTCTAAACCGCTAAGAGAGTAAAATTTCTCAACTGTCGAATAATTGCAATCACTGTAATCAATATAGAAACGAACGAAACTGAATGAAACGACTGGACAGAACGTGACATCGATGACACAAAATTTTGAAAGATGACGTTGTGCATGCTGATTGGCTGGATCAAGTCGATGTCTCCCTCTTCTACTTCGATACATCGCGCAATTAGGGTGAACGGACGTGGCGAGATATCGAAGTCGAAATCTCGGTCGAAATACCGAGACCACATGCCACTGAACTACATATGTATGATGCTTCGGGAGTTGGATATGTGTTGTTGACCGCGTAGCGAAGCACCTCCATCTGAAAAAAGAGATCTTCCACACGTCTGTATCCGAGAAGATAAGGATTTATTAAGCATATGATGCTCGATCGCTTTTTCTTATCATAAAGATAAGATAGTTTGATCTTTCAAAAGAACGATACAAGACGAGTGTCTGCGATATTAATAGATAACGTGGCACCCGTAATTTTTCCTCTTGGTTCTCTCTGGTAGATAACAGGGATCCTTGTTACTTTCCATTGTGACAGATGCGTCGATAGAGTAACGCTAGTATTTGAATAACATTTGGCAAGGTAAAGAACGAGTTTTTTATATTATATTGATTGTTTTATTTTGTTTATATATCAAACAACAGTGTCCAGAGAACATTTTTATGTCAATGTAAGATTAACTTTAATTTTAGTTCAGTTTATTCTTTATCTTCTTCTAATTCTAAGATGAACAATAAAGTAAACTGAGATTGAAGTTAATTTTATATTGATGGAATTGGGCCTTATCTGTTATTCTAGCAATGTAGATTTACTTGGTTCAATTTGCTAATCATCTTCTAATTTTTAGAACTAGAAAAAGATAAAGAGTTGGTTGATTTAATTGATTAATATTAAACTACATTGGTAGAAACAGACATTCGTAACAATGTAAATTAATTTTAATCTCGGTTTAATTTATTCTTTATCCTTTTCTAATTCTTAGAACCAGAAAAAGATAAAAATAAATTAAACTAAGATTAAAGTTAATCATTGATGGAAATGAGCATTAGATATGTATACCTCAAAAGATGTCTTTATGACAGTTTTTAGATATGTATATAATCTGAGATATCACTATTGATGTAATCACAGTTCTCTGAGAGAGAGATGTTCTTAGGATGTAGACGTTCTAAATGATTTTAAGACATTCCTTGGAGAACTGTGTTGTATGGATAGAAAATTAGAACCAGAAGTAACAAAATGTTCTTTGTTTCACAAGATGGTAAAAAAGGACGGACTTTGGAAGCTGACACAGCTTCGGATGCTGATGAAGAATGTTCAACCTAGTGGATGGTCTCTCATTCGAAAGAAAGGTATCCAGGCTCTGATTGTCACTGGAGAGGATGCACATCAATCGGAATATTCAACAGAGCGAGACCAGAGACGACGTTTTATCAGCGGATTTCGTGGTTCCTATGGAACGGTAGTCATTTTACATGATGCAGCATTGCTGTGGACTGATGGAAGATATTACCAACAAGCTATGTCGGAATTAAATCCGCCAGAAGCATGGACTTTGATGAGGGAAGGTTTATTGGACACACCTACCATCACTGCGTGGCTCGCTACGAATTTACCACCAAAATCCGTAGTTGGAGCAGACGCTAATCTAATAAGTTTCACAGAATGGACGCGATTGCAGAACAGTTTAATCGATGCTGGTCACGATTTGGTCTCACTTTCTGAAAATTTGGTGGACAAAGTATGGGGTGACGATCAACCAGCGCCAACAGCTAATATAGTTTTGCCGCAATTGTTACGATATTCGGGACGAGGTGCAGGAGATAAAATAAGAGCGTGTCGCGATGCTATGCGAGAAAATGGCACGACAATACTTGTAGTGACTGCATTGGATGCGATTGCGTATCTACTAAATTGGAGAGGATCTGATATACCTTTCAATCCTGTCTTCTTTGCATACGTCATTCTCACTCTGAAAGATGTACATATCTTTATAGATAGAAGTAGGCTTAGCCAGGAGGCGTTGGAGCAACTGAAGAATGAGGGTGTTGATCCAATCTTTCACGCCTATGAGGATATACATGTTTTTATGAAGTCGTTCGTACAATCATGTTCATTCGAGAAAGATAAAATGTGGATTAGCAATAAATCGAGCTTTGCGCTACACCCGGATGTTGCGACTATTCAGAAACATACAGATATTACACCTATTAGTTTTATGAAATCGATAAAGAATGTTACCGAAATAGATGGTATGAGAGCGGCACATGTGAGAGATTCTGTCGCTCTTGTAAAATATTTTGCTTGGCTAGAAGATAAGATCAAGAATACGAACGAATGGATTACGGAAATTTCAGGTGCAACGCGGCTGGAACAGTTTAGACAGTAAGTCAATTATGTATATTTTAAAGCAACACATTTTTACAATGTAAAATGTAGATATAAGAAAATTACTTTTTTTTTTATAAGGGAACAAGCTCATTTTGTTGGATTAAGTTTTACCACTATATCGTCTGTTGGTCCTCACGGAGCAGTTATTCATTATTCACCTACGACAGAGACTGATGTGCCTATTACAGATAAAGAACTTTATCTCTGTGATTCTGGTGCACAATATCATGATGGTACGACAGATGTAACGAGAACGTTACATTTTGGTGAACCCACGAGTTTCGAACGTGAATGTTTCACTAGAGTTTTTAAAGGACAATGCCGGTTATCAACAATGGTATTCCCCTTGAAAACAAAAGGAAATTACCTCGATACACTGGCACGTGAAAGTTTATGGAGCGTTGGGTACGAAAATTTTTATTAAAATATGATAAGAAAACATTTTATGCGAAAACATTCAGCTTTTTTGATATCTAACTATGAATTAACTTTAGTCTCGATTATCTTCACGGTACTGGCCATGGAGTAGGATCCTATCTCAATGTCCATGAAGAGCCGATTGGTATCTCATGGAAGCCGCATCCAGATGATCCAGGTTTACAACCAGGAATGTTCTTATCAAACGGTATGATAAAAACATATAAATAAAACGTAATTGTTTACGTAATTAAAACAATTTAAAAAACATATTTTTAAAACAGAGCCAGGATATTACGAAGATGGTAAGTTTGGTATCAGATTGGAGAATATTGAATTGGTTGTTCCTGCAAAGACACCTTACAATCATAAAAACCGAGGTTTTCTAACATTTGAAACCATGACGCTTGTACCTATTCAAACAAGTCTGCTCGATATATCGATGCTTACTGACAAAGAGGTATGCACATTCTCACATATTTCTCATTTTATTTAAAAATATTTCAATTATGTTTTATGACATATCTTATTCCAGATCGAATATTTGAATAATTATCATGTGAGATGTTTGGAAGTTTTAAAACCTTTGTTACAAGGACCAGAGAACATTCGAGCACTTAAGTGGCTTGAAAAACAAACCCTTCCTATTTCTCATCCTAACTGTAATTTAGCACGATGAACTGTAAAAAAATCTCTTGAGAATATGTAACATAACGAGAAATTGCCCAATCTAAACTAATATTATACAACGAGGCAACAAATATTCAGTTGGCATATAAAATTTATATAATTTTGTGTATACGGATGGCTGTGCAGTATTATAGTCCACCCATGTACACGCGATTACTCAAATCGACTACACGTGAGTGAATAAACAACAAACAAATATCGAAAGTGAAATTTTTATTTTTAAGACTTTGATTTTATTTATAAGATCTTGTACTGTTTTATAAATTGAATTGCAAATGAATCAAATTCTAATAATCATTCCATTTGCATTTATCATAACATAAATATCTAAAATGTACATTTATATACACTGTTCGTTTTTCATTCATTCACTATATATCATCTTGAGAGAGAAAGAAACAAACGTCTACCACCGGGTGTGATTCATTGAACGTTCCCAATGTCTACATCATTTCATTCTTGTCCAACATTTGACGAACAGAGAAAATGAAATGATGCTTGTAAATATTGTGAACGTTAAGTGGAACTTATCCTACGTCAATCATACAATGTTCAATGTATCAAAATGAATCAAGTGTTATACAGTTTATTACTCATATCTTTATATATATATATAATTAAACGCTGTTACTTTTGTTGTTATATATATATATATATATATATATATACATAAATATATAATAAAAAAACATGTTATTTTAATAACAAATATATGGAGCTAAAATAGTATTATAAACCACCAATTGCGTCACAATTTTATCTCGATATATACACTGAAACTATGAGATATATATTTTTTAATTTCCTATCTATATATTCTCTCGGTGTTATTTTATGTCAAAGCTGTGTTATATATAATCAAGTAAGAAGATATAATAGAAGAAAATATTTACTTTTTAATTTTAAAAGTAACAGCGTTTAATAAGTTAACGAGTTTAATTCTTTCTAAAAATTATATACAAGATTCAAAATACGTGCGCAGATGCACTCAATGTCATTAATTTCCAGATTAATTCTTTTTTATTGGATCTCTAAAAATAAAATTAATAAAATTATGTTCTACAGAATTAAATTGAGAGCAATAAAAATACAGATTTAGTATTTTAATTAACGGTTATACTAATGGAAAATACAATGTTATGGTGAATACGGCTTGCTAACATAAAGCCACTTTTGGAACACATCTATTTATGTTCCATGGTTTAGAATGGATATATATGCATAAGGCCAATATTACGTTTGTCCGTTTTCATCGTACGTCCAATTTTTCAAGCCTATTGATGGTTTCAGGAAAGAGAGATCCGAGTTTTTCCTGCAATTAATTAAAATACGCTTGAAAAAATTCTCGTACAGCTTATTGGAACTAACGATTAAAATACTTTGAATTCGAAACATTATATTATAAAATTAAATGCCAATTAAATGTCACAAAATAA